ACCTGAGATGCCTTCTCAGACTTCACACGAGCTGGCCCACCTCTGGCCTGAGAACATCATGGCGGCAGAGGTGGGGGATCTACCCCAGCCCATGGGTCTTCAGTGCTGTCCCAGCAATGGGGCAATCCTGTTCCTCCTCCCTCATTAACTCCCTAGCCCACTCCTCACAGCAGCTGTTCCAAACATTCTCTTCTCTGGAGTCCATACCTCCTATCCCTTCACCTTCCCAGCAGAAGACCTCCACCCTTACTTGACTAAGAAATTTGAAGGCACTCCACGTGAGCTCCATCTCTTCCCTTTCCTTCATCTTAACCCCCCTCCCCCATCTAGAAGCAGGTCAATGGATAGAATGCTAGGCTTCACGTCAGAAGACTTGCGTTCATCATATCGGTGTTTTTAATTACTTTTATTTGTCACATAGGAGAATTCAATCTAGATAATTAAATGAGGGGGAGATTTACCCAACCCCAAGAAACAACTGTGATGTAATAATAAATGTACCAATAAAAATGTATTTTTTTAAAAAGTGAAGTAGTCAGCTGATCCTTCTCCCAAGAAATCTAGGCAAGTCCAGCATCAGGAGACCCTTCTCCCATGACATACTTCCAGAATCACCCTGAAATGAGACTGTGAAATTACCTACTGCTTTGGTACACTCAGCATTCAGAAAGAGGGGGAGAGGGGCAGCTAGGTGGCCCACTGGATAGAGCACCGGCCCTGGAGTCAGGAGGACCCGAGTTCGAATCCAATCTCAGACCAAACACTTGACACTTCCTACCTGTGTGACCCTGGGCAAATCACTTAACCCCAACTGCCTAAAAAAAAAAAAACAGAAAGGGGGAGACAACAGATTTTAATTCAGACCAAGGCCACAGGGGAAGATCCTTGTTGTTATACAAACAGCCTATGACATTCCTCAACCCCAAAAGACAAAAATTCTATCTACATTAAGGTTTAGGGGTCAAAAAGCTGAAGGCCACCGAAGACCCACCCTAATACCACAGGAATTATTCAGTTTCTGCTAACGTTACAAAGGCAGAATGTGATCAGAGCCCTAGCCAGCTCCACTTAGTCATGAAGCTCTTCTTTGTCCTTACTGAAGCTGACTTACTCAGACCATCATGGAAGGTTAATGACTCACAGGTCTGCAGGAAAAGGAAGGAGGGATTAAAAAAAAGACTCTCGGAGGAGACACAATGGAGCATCTGTTCCTGTAGGGTCAGGAAGCCCTGGATTTGAATCCAGATGTTTACTAGCTGTGTGACCCTGGGCAAATCACTCAACTATTTTGGGCCTCAGTTTCCTCATCTGTAAAAATGAGGGGGTAATAGATTTTATGCTTCTTGCCTTCTCAGTGGGTAGGAAGAGGGAAGGGGAGGGAGAGAATTTGGAACTGAAGATAAAATAAAATTGAATTTAAAATTTAGAAATAAACATATAATAAATAATATAAATAAATAAATGAGAGCCGGACTAGATGGCTTTTCACATCTGTATCTCTGAAATCAAAGGTTCTTCCCAGGTGTAAATGAATTCATTCTCAAGCCTTGGTGCCTGGGGCCAGGCAGCCTGGACCCTAATGCTTCCCTAGGATGGGGACCCTCTCTCTCTCTCACCACTTTCTCAGTTCCCTCCTTCCCAATCAGATGCCAACAGAAGACTCTCAGGGAGAATGGAAGCCCCTCAGCTGAGGGTCTAAAGGGGAGCAGGGGAAGGGGAGCCCCCAATCCACTGGGGTCTTTCTTTTCCTCATTCCCAGTTTCCAGGTTTTGACTGCCAAGATTTTAATGTGAAAAAGTTTTGCTCAAGACTAGAAAACTGAAGATTTTAAAAGAAGAAGGTGCTCAGACCACCAAGCTTTGCTCCTTTTGGACTACTCCATACCCTGGCTGTAGGCCTCAGCCATAAAATGTAATAACTTCATACCTACCTTGAATGGTGGTAATGAGGAGCAAATTAAATACTAATTGTAAAGCTCTTAGCACAGTGCCTGGCATACACAGCAGGTGCTGTCTAAATGCTTATTCCTTCTCCTTCCCATCCTGCTGGCATCCCAGGGCATCCTTTCCTGGGCTCGTCCACCCAGAAGTCTGCATTCAAACTGTTCCTGGTTGGAACACAAAGCTCTCTGTGCTGACTCACTGAGGTTAGGCATCTGTTTTTATCTCACAAAGAAAGTTTATAAGGAAGCTTCGTTATTTTTCCAAGTCAAATATGGACATTACCTGTTCCAAGAAGAGCATTTCCACTCCCCTCCCTTCCCCTTGGCTCGCTCTCTATAAACACCAACATCTATACATCGGATGGTTTAAGAGACACAGTGATTTCTCATACTTGAGAGAAACCACAGAGGAGAAAGATCTCTCTCAAAGGCTCCTTCCCATTTCTAACACAGAACCAGCATGGTCCAGTGGAAAGATGGTTGGATTTGGAATCAGAGCACTGGGTTCAAATCCTGATTCTGCCTGTATATTCTCGGGCAAGTTGAAACTGCTCTGTATCTAAATTTCCTTACCTGTAAAATTAGGAAATTGGATTAGGTGGCTTCCAGTTTTTTTAAATTAATTTATTTTGATTTATCAACAATCACTTCCATATGCTTTCGAGTTTAAAATTTTTCTCCCCCTTCCTCCCCATCACTCTCCCCAAGATGGTGCACAATCTGATGTAGGCTATATACATACATTCTTATTAAACATATTTTCAGATTAGTGATGTTGTAAGTAAACATTAGAACCAATAGGAGAACCACCAGAAAGAGGAAACAAAACTCAACAGGGCTTCCTGTTCTGATAGCCTATGACCTTATCTATGATCCAGAATGGGGAAACTACAGCTTCCCCATACTAGGACAGGGAAAAATTCTGTCCTTGAAGGAGCCAGCATCATACTGTGTGCCTGCAATACTTGCATTTCTTATAAAATCTCAAACCCGGATAATCTGTCAACAGAAGATTATAGCTTTCAAGCTAAAATGGATTAGTTATTTCCTAATTTGCTAAGATGCTGATTTCTTTTTCCTAAAATGAGCCACCCCTCTACCAGTATCTTCCGTCATTAAGCAAATTGAGCTCTTCTTTCAGGGTGCCAGCTTTCAGGGAGAACTTATCATGAGAGAAGGTAATCATATATAATTCAAAGAGCTGAAAGGGACCTTGGAAGTCTCCTAGTCCCAAACCCCTCTTTTTCTAAATGAGAAAAATGCGATCCAGAGGGGAAATGAATTGTCCAGTCACACTTTTTTTTTCCTTTGAGTCTCAACCGGTGGTTTCATTGAATGGAGGGGAAAGGGGGGGGGGTTAGTGCTGGTGTAGAATATGGCTCCACAGATGCCGATGGCCCAAGATTTATAACTTACCATCTTAAAGAGTTGCACACAAAAAGACGGAGCGATTTGGCCAGGCACGACTTGAATCCAAGGCCTGCCCTCTATGCCAGGCTGTCTCTCACACAAGTGCCACAGCCTAAATTAGAACCCAGGCTTCCTGATTTTCAATCCCCTTCTTTCTATTAGAGGCCATGCTGAGAAATGCTAAGAACACAGTTCGGTTCAAGAGATCAGACTACTGTTATGACGGGTTGCTGGTTAGGTTGGGGTTTGGTTTTGTTTTTGCTCATTTTTAAAAGTTGAGCTCTGCTCTTGGGGTACGGGGCACCCTCCCAAGCTTCTTGCCCTGGGGCCGGGGGGCTTGGTCACTGGCTCTCTGCACTGGGGTGGCCCCAGCCTATTCCTGCCTGTTGTGCCCTGGGTTCCCGGGCTGGCAGTTTGCCTGCTGCACTGGGGCTGGAGGCCTCCCAGCTGACCTGCTGAGGGCCTGGGTGCTTATCTGTGCTGTGGCTAAGAGGCTCCTGCTGCCTTGCCGGACACCGCTTTTACTCAAGAGCGACAGACCTTCCTGAAGTCCTTCTAAGTAAATTAGTTGTTTTCCCTCTGTCTTTTCGTGGGCTCTGTCGCTCTGGAATCCATTTAGAGGCCTGATTTAATGTTTCCAAGGGAAACCGGGGAGAGCACAACTGCCTGGCTCCTCTCTGCCCCACCTGTTTTCTGTCTTGTGTTTTTGTGGGGTGGGGGTTGGGGAGGCTATGTTCTCTTGGGTCTAGTTTTCAGGACCAGGCTAACACAATTTTCCCCCACTGGAAAGTCTACTCTGACTCGCCGGACAAGGCCCAGACGCACGTCCTGTCCCAACAATATTCAGCATCAAAGAAGAGAGACAATGGGGGGTGGGGTGGGGTTCCTTCCTCTGGGAGTCATGGCCTTGGGGGCCATATGCCCAAGGTCGGGGCCTTCGGTGGGAGTCTGGGGTGCGGGCTTCCACCAAAGAGACCTGGGGGGAATAGGCACAGTCCTGCTCCCCCAAGGGCGCCGGCTGGACCAGCTTCCCAGCCCCCGGAGACGCACAGGGCACAGTCCTGCCCAGGAGCGCGCTAGCGCGGTGGGACCCCCTGCGCCTGGGCCGGGGGCTGCGCCCGAGGGAGGTCCCAGAGCCCCCCCCCGCTTCATTCCCGGGCGCGCCACCCAAGGAGCCCGCGCCTCTGCCAGAAGAGGGGCACTTGCGTTAGAGCCTACCCTTGTCCCCCAGTCCCCCGGGCGCCCACTCTCGACCCCCGCCCTCAGCAGCCACCTGTGCACCCCTAGTGGCACGGCCGGCCCAGGCCTCCGGACGCGCAGGGCGGGGGGGGGGGACAGAATGCGTCAACAGCCGCCGGGCGCCCCGGTCCAGCCCAGCCACGCACCCCCCGCCCCCGTTCCCGGGGCGCAGAGCCGCCAGCTCCCGGTCTTACGTGAGCGGGCAGGAGAGGCGGCCACGGGGTCCGGGAGCCAGGCTAACCGGGGAACGACGCCGGAGCGAGTGAGCGCGAGGGCTTCGCGCGTGCTATTTGTTTCAGGGTGGCGCCCCCGTTGGCCCGTTCCCCAGACTCTCAGGGAAACCTGAGCTCCGGGCTCCGCCCCGAGCCTGCTCCCCTCCCCCGCCCTTGGGGGAGAAATCCCTCCCTACCTCGAAGCGGCTCCGGGCGTGGGGCTGGAAATCCGAGCTGGGGCCGTGGACACCCGCGCGCGGCCTGCGGCCGCAGCGGCTGGACTGTGGGGGCGGGGCTGCAGCGGCCGGCCGCAGCAGGCCAGTACCAACTGGACCCCGTTTTGGTCCAGGTGCCAGTGGGGGCGGGGCCGGCTCCGGGGGTGGGGGGAGATGATCCTGCCCACCCATCCCCAGTCTCGGGCAGCCTTAGGGACCGAGAGTGGGAGGGCCAGCCAACTTAACTATTTCGGGTGCTGTCATTTCACCTGAAAGCCTAGCCGACAGAGTATCAAGAATTCAGTAGCCCTGTAATGCACAGTGACCAAGCCCCCGGCATCAAGCCGCAAACCGACTGGACAGCTGTGTCCTGGCCTCAGCTTAAAGGTTTATGCGGCTCAGCAGAACCCGTCAGGGCCTTTACGGAGAACTGGTCACCTCCACGGACCGAGGCAACAGAGCGGGGGTGGTCAGTGAGAGCCCGGCAGGTCCTTTTCCCGAAGCAAATGAAACACGTGCTTGGCCAGGGGTATTTACAGAATTGCCTGGAGATTAAGTGATTGGCTGTAGATCTCAGGCCATAAGAAGCCAGGTCTTCCTGCCTGTTCTGTATCTATCTGCCAGTCCACCATCTACCTACCTACCTATTTTGTTCTTTCATTGGTGTGGCTATTCCTTCCGCATGAGGCATGCCTTTCCATGCCTTAATTTTCTTTAAACAGGTATTTATATGGGGGCAGCCAGGTGGTGTAGTGGATAGAGCCCAGGAGTCAGGACCTGAATTCAAATGTGATCTCAGACCCCTGACTAGCTGTATGACCCTGGGCAAGTCACTTAACCCCAATTGCCTTGCCAAAAAGAAAAAAGGTCTTTATATGAATCACTGTAGCCAAAAACAATCTAACTGCATTAAGATGTAGAGCTAGATAGCACTTCAAAGGCCATCTAGTAAAATGAGACCCAAATACCAGAATCAGAGATGCTAAGTGCCAGCATCTAGATTCAAACCCAAGTCCTCCAGACCATAAACTTTTGTGCTACTTGTCACTGAGATGTACTGGTCTGTCCTTGAAAAAATCTGTGCAGAGATGGGAAGGGACCTTAGTCATAGATTTAGATCTCGGACACCTAAAGGTCTAGTTCACACCATCAATTTATAGATGGGGAAATTGAGGCACAAGCTATCTCTGGGGTGACCAGCCTTGACCTAACCTGGACACTGCAAGTCTGGTGTTGCTTAATTGGGGCCAGGAAGAGTGGGAGGCAATTACATAGAGGCATGATACATTTGTTTCCTATCAGGATCCTTTGGAGGTCTTCGGAGTAGGACAAGTCCAAAAGTCAGGTCAGGGGACTGTTTGGTGGTACCCAGATTCTAGGATGAGGGGAGGGGGAGACACATGGCAGGCCTGAAGTTGTTCTAAGGCCCTCTCCAGTGTTAATGGCTGGAATCACCCAACTTTGAAGTTCATGCCTTTTGTTGTATGCCCAGAGCTTAGCATTGTGTGTGCCCCACAGTAGGTGCTTAATAAAGGCTAGGGGGCTGACGGGACCAGAACTTCTCAAAGAATCAAGCTGTTTTGGGAGATCCTACTCTCTATCAGTATCATTTCCCAGTGGCCCGTTACACTGCCAGAAATGGCACCTTTAGAGCTTTGGTGAAATAATCTCATAAAATCACTTTCTCAGCCCAAGTGCTCTCTCCCTCTGCTTTAGTGACTCTTGTGTATATCCTATTTTTGCTTCTCCCCCCGACAGGCTGTATCCCCCAATGGAACATAAGCTTCCTGAGGGCAGAGAATGTTTCATTTTTAAAAATGTGGATCCTGAGGGTCTTAATGCTTGTTGAATGATCCTCAAACCTTTCCCCAAAGCTAACCCTAATTCCCAGAAGCGCCACCTCCTCTATAACAGGCCACTGGCAGGCCTTAATTTAAGTGACTTAAAGCTGATCGTGTCCCAAGGAGGTCAGCTGGGCAATTGGCAAAGGACCTCAATGTGACGATGTCTTCAGGTATTTGAAAACCTGAGATATTTCAGGATTAATTTGTTCCTTTTGACCCTCAAGGGCAAAACCAGGACGAACAATGTTGAAGAATTATTAGCCTGCACTAAGTGGAAACTTAGAGCCCAGTCTGTTTATTATAATAAGACAGAAACCAGGTCTTCTAGACGTCAACAGGCTAAATGCCCTTTTGGGAAATGAACTCTACACAGTACATGTCTGAGGTTAACAGGCTCACAGGGTTGAGAAGAGCACATGCAGCCAAAGCCCTCCTATTGCAGAGGAAACCAAAGCACCAGAGAGAAGGAACTGGCCCAAGGTCACACCACTTGGCAGCCAGGCTGGGAAGAGGCTGGATGATTGGGAGCAAAGGTCTGCTGGGAGATGCGGACCAGGCCCCAGATGGAGGTCAAGGGGCCAGGCATTCTGCCACCGTACCCTTCTATGCATCCTAACAAAGGAATTCTGTGTGTGTTTTGGGACACTGCAACACACCCCACAGAATGGCCCCAACCGAAGTAACCCAGAAATGGGGCCTGCTGCACTCCAGCAGCAATGCTGACCAACCTCTGCTTCAAACAAGCAAAGACAATGCTAAGCAGCGTCAATTTACACAAACAGGAAAATGTTTAAATGTGATATTAAACAGATGAGATCAACAACCAGAGTTACTTTTAAATATGTGATTTTAAACACCTGCAAGATTTCATTCCAAATTCAGAGTCTGATAATTACAAAAAACCCATGTTTCAGGAAAACAAATTTAGCTTAACATAAAATTCATGTCACTTATCACAAAGTTAAGACAGTGTATAAAGCAGAAAAAACCAGAAATCGTATTTACAAATGTATATACCATGGGAGTCATTGCCAAGATTACTCCTGTTAGCAATGAACAACACAGCAGATGCTTTAATATATCACATTCTAAAATTACTGCAATGGTAAGGATTTTTTCATCTAAAATTAAAGGATGGATTGTCTTCAAGGGGAGAAAGACCACTTTTAGTTCCCGGTAGCTGAAGTCAACCATGAAGGGTCCCTGGTGTCTGCGGTGGATATACATGGAGAGGGCCCTCTAAAATGGATTCCCGGGCTAAAAAGGCCTAATTGCAAGTGTGTTTCCGCTGTATACAACGTACAATATCAGGAAATGATAACCCAAGAACTGAAGATGGCAGTGGCTCTATAGATCTGCGCTTCTACCCTTTCTACTGCTGCTACATTTGCAATACTTGTATAAAAACAACCCTCCCCGCCACCCCCCACACAGACCCAGCTTCTGTAAATGTTACAAATATGAAATACTTTAAACAAGGCAGTAATACCAGCCCCGCAGCTTGAGAACAAATTTCCCATTTGACAAAAGGAAAAAAAAAAAGAAGCCTTCCTTTCCCCTCCTCTGTCGTACAGAAAACACAAAAAAACCCAAACCAACTCCTAAGATAAATGTCTGGTAGAAACCACAGCTTGGCCCACTGCTGGCTTGCCACTTGGGAGACATATGTGACTGAACAGCCAGTTAGTTATTTACACTCTTCAGAAACACCTCGGCGCCGGGGCTCAGGTGTGCCGAGGACAGTGGCTTGGGGCTGGGGAGTAGTTGACGAGTCTGGGCCCATCGTAGTCATCAGAATCTGTGGAATCTTCATCTTCGTCTTCCTCGATCACAGAACATTCATCATGGCCAGTTTCCTTGGGATAGAATCACACGTTGAGTAGATAACCCTTCATTTCTCAGCCTTTACATCTCACAGCAGACTTAAAGGAAGCTCCAACACCACCACATTTTTGACAACACCGAGTAAGTGATGGTCCTGTTATTCCAGACACCACAAGATTAGCAGCACTGAGTCATCACAGGTTGAATGGTCACGGACTTGGTCATCACCTGGCATGTATGTGAGAGCACTGAAAGCGAAGTCCCTAACCATTTTGGACAAATACAGGTTTTCAAATGGCAGCACAAGGAGCTGGACAATGGAGGGGGCCACTCTTCCTAGCTGGAATTTGTAACTTATGAAGGTAAGAGGGACAAGTCACATCACACCTTTAAAAGGAGGGTGTTGGATTAATGGCCCTTCTAGTCCTAAAATATTATCCTGTGATTTAAAGGGTATGGGAAACGAAACAAAACCAAAAAACCTTTAGACAGGGCGACCTCTAGTGGTAGCTTTTATAAACGGCACTTGGGCCTAGCTCAGAAAATCCCTTAATAAAGACGGTTTCCCTATCTCCTCCAACTACTCTTGGACACATCTCTCAAACTCTCCTGAGGATGAGACGGAAGGCTTGTTGGGTCAGCAGCTGCTGCTTTTCCCACAGAAGGGTGGATGTGAGTCTCTGAATAAGAGTGCACTCAAATGAGCATGCCTGAGAAGCAGGCAGGGCAGCTAGGCCACTCATTTTACAGCTGAGGAAACCAGAGCTCAGATGCTAACCTGTCCAACGGCTGTTTATCAAAATGAGATTTTTTTTTAACTTGAAGGAAGTTAGCTTAGTGGCTTTGAGTCCCGAGAAAAACTAACCTTCTTCCAACACTCGCTTGCTTACCCTTGGGGTTGTGGAGACCTTGAAGGTGGGACACACCATATGGAATCTGGGAATGGCCACGTTGAATATCCTGTCCTTGTAGTAAAGGAGATGAAAGGTATAATGCCCTTCCATATATCCTGATGTGGTGGAGAAGGTAGTACAGCTGGTGTACTCATACACCCGGCCGGGGCTGAGGATGGGAAACTCTCCTGCGGGAGAAACACAGGACACATCAACACATGTCCTTTGGGACAGGAGGCCAGGGACCAGATCTGTGATTTCATGGGTTTATATAGGGGATTCCAAGTGAGGAAACTCCTTGAACTCCCCTCAACCAAAGCAGGTTGGCACCTGCCCTGTGACTGCCTTGAGGCCTGAGACCTAAGTGTCAGAGGCCAAGAACTAGACCCCAGGTTGTCTTGCTGGCTCCTAGGCCAGCTCCCTGTTCACCATACCAAGCTGCTGCCATGAAAAAGATGAAAAGAATTTTTGAAGTCACTAGAACTTTACACTTTACTGTCTAGAAGACAGTATAGTAGAGAAAATTTGAGAATTTAAGTTCTAAAAAGAATTTTTGGCACCAAGACAGGAAAGTTTAAGTCAAAGTCTGATGCCATTGGCTCTGACAACAGAGGCCTAGGGCACCAAAGTTAAAGTTAGGCATGAC